TTATTTTTATTATTTTTATTTTTATTTTTTTCTTAATTTCACAGCTAAAGCTTGCAGTGACTAAAATCCTCTTTGCTCTGGAGGGGGAAGAAGTGCGTTAAGGTCTTATTTGCATTTAAGGTCATAGATATAAGTAGTCATGAATGTTGTGTGTTGCCCATCTGGCATATGCTCATGAACCTCTGAACCTTTTTTTTTGGGGTGCTCTTTCAAAAAAGGAGGCAGTGAGGGCTGGGAATGGAGGGTATATTTTAGTGGTTGTAGCCCTTTCTGTGCAAACTGAGCAGCTTTTGTGGCTCAGCAGTGGGGTCTACGCCTGTGCCCATGAGTTTGCTTGATCCATCCCTTCTTTCTCCCCCTGTGTCCCCCTGTGTCACTGCACCAAGCGTGTCCCCTTCCTCAAGACACTTTTCCCTGGGTTGCATTGCAGTCTTCCTTGTTTGACAGAATTGGGGAAACTGAGGCAGTAGCACAGGCAACAGGATTTCACCTGGCTTTTGCGGCAACTGTCACTGCTCAGAGCATCTTCCCAGGGTGACCTTGGGAGAAGGTCTCAGACCCCAGGTTTGAGATGTTCTCATGAGTTCTTGTGCATATGTCCCAGGTGGGAAGAGGAGAAGAAAGAAGATGGAGTAAAGTGGACTCAGCTGGAGCATCGAGGACCCTACTTTGCCCCCCTCTATGAGCCACTGCCTGATGATGTGCAGTTTTATTATGATGGTACGTCCTCCTTGTGATGGGACCTGGGGCATGTGGAGTTGTCCTCTGCTTGGCCAAAGAGACGGTATGTTGTGTGGCGGGGGGAAGTACTGCAGACCACAAATTATTAAAAGTCCTAAATATCCCACCGGATAAAGTGTGAATCATGGGTTAAAGCTGGAGGGTTTTGCGCATGGTAGGAGTTATGGGGTTGTTGAGGAGCTCATGAGCCCCTGATGGTTGTAGGGTGCTTTATGCATACCCTCCATCCAGAGCACCCTGGGACAGGGTGAGGGTTCCTGTGCTGCTCCCTGCAGCTGGTTTTAGGGTGCTGTGATGCACCCATGGGTGGATCTGGGGCTTGGACCTCTGCTCAGAGTCTCTCCTGACTGCAGGACATGCACTGGTGGGACTGGACCCTAAGTTTCTCGAGGGGAAGCCATGCCTCTTGATGCTGTTGTCTGAAGTTTTTGTGTACCTTTTGTGAAGATGGACTGACGGGGGGAAAAAAAAACCCCAAACTTTTTTTTCCTCATTAAAATGCCTTTTGGGTTTGAACTTTATCTCAGCTCATGTGTGGTTTCCTTGCAAGCTGGGAAAAATGTGATTGTTTTTGAGAGCTACAGTTTGCTTCTCCCATGGCCTCAATGACTGACATATCACTTGTCCTCCAAGACATAGCAGGGTTTGGCTGGGCTGCTCTGAGCTCCTGGTCATGGCTCCTGATGTTGTCCCCAGGGCCACCACACATCATCTTACAGCAACTCAGTGCATCAGTGAAGGGGCTGAGAGGTTGACAGGACAGATCCAGGTGTCTACTGTCCTCCTTGGTTTCCCACCATGCCTCCTGGGCTGCCTTCTCCTCCCTGCTCTTGGCTACATACCTGAACTGGTTTTTGATAGATCAAGGGAACAAAGGCAAGAAGGATCTTGAGACTTGACCAAGGGATGCTGGAGATGGGAGGAGACTGCAGTCCCATGGAGTCTTGGTTCTCAGCCCCCTTGCTGGGGCTTCATATTCCTTTTGTGGGCTTTTACAGGAGCAAAAAAAAAAGCTAATTTGGAGAAATTAGATGTCTGGCAATGCTGTCAACAGAGGGCACTGCTGGGACATGAATGGGACTGTTGAAGACTTCTTTTTTTTGGATCTATGAGGAAGAGCCTTGGCAGCTGTATGGAGTCCTGCACAGGGTTTGGACCTTCTCTGTGGCCTCCAAGCTGTTGGAGATCCATCTGTGTTGTGTTCATTTGGGCTGATGGCTTTGGCCTGGGATCTTGGGTGACATTGGCTTATCTGCTAAAAGGTGTCACCATTCCTGGATGAACACATGCATGTGCCCAAGCAACAGCCCCCAGAAGGGAGGGACCATGGTTGAGCTGACATATGTAGGTTGTCATGGAGCTCCTCTGAGGCTGTGACCCACCATGTCCTGTAGTTCAGGTGG